TACACGACTGTAGACAACAGCTTATACACTCTCTGAAGGAAAACCCATGTGAAACGCAAAGGCCAAGGAAATGTCCCCACTTGTCAACTCACTCAGAGACCCTCCATCTCTCTCACCTTCCTTCCCTCCCCTCCCCTTCCAGTTGAACAATCTGAGGGTGATTCATCAGCATAACAAATAAGTCACACTTAAAGGGGAAAGGTCGACATAAGTGGGAGCATGGGGGTGGACCAAAAGAAGGGGAGAGGCGATGCTAAGTGCTTTCCTAGGTAGACTGTGCACAGAGCCCCATCACATCATTTACATTTTTGCTTTTAAAATGCAAATGTGCTGTGTGAGTAGCTCACGGACATTGAGAGAGAATTAAACTCCAACTCCAGTTTGATTCCTGTTTAGCAGTGTGACCCTAAGTAAATCATTTAATCTTGCTTCCCATCTAGAAATGTTTCTTCATCTATAGAAACAGAGAGGAGGGAACCTTTAGTCTGGACCTGGGGTGGCGGGGAGGAGGAAGACAGGGGAGGAGGGTGTCAGGTGGGTGGAAGTGTATTTCAATACAATTGGTTTTCTTTGTTTTCCTATGTCTTTAATTTGGGGCATTTAAACACAGCCTGGGGACTTGTGTTGATGAGGCGGGAAAGTGAGAGGAGTGGGGAGGGGTAATTATTGAGCAGGGGGCTCTTCAGCAGCTACAACAGGAGAATGGCCTTGAGACCAGCTGCAATGCCCTCGAGCACAGACAGACACACAACAGTACGGGTCCCTAAGGAGTGTGCCCCTGCCAGCAGGTGGCTCTGGGGCGTGCAAGTGTTCAGGTGTGTGTTGGGCTGAGGCAGCGGGAGCTGACTGTCTTCTCTGGAGCATTTCATAACCTATCAGAAACCCTGAATCAGAACCAATTCAGGTTTTTGGGGGGTCTTTTTCATCCTCTCATAGGAACAGCATCCCCACCTTCTGAGGTATGTGTCTGCCCAGCTGAATCACCAACATGCCCCTGCTCCGCGGGGACCAGGCAGGGCAGCTGGACCCGCCTGCCACCTGCCCACCACAGCCCCCAGAGGCTAGGCTCCAGATGGGGAACAGACCGCAGAAGCATCAGATACAGCTCGCTGAAGCACCAGGGCAGAGCCCAGGGTCCATGGGGCGGGGAAAGCAGAGACCTCCAGGCTGGCCCAGGGGCCGTGTCTGCCCCAACGCCCCACGAGCCCCCAGGCCAACTCACTCCCGAATCTCATCGATGATTTTCTGCTTCTCCTCGATTTCATCTCGGAGTCTGGACAGCTGCTTCTGATGAGCTTCCCGGTGGCTCTCCATCTGCTGCTCCAGCGCCTTCTGCAACCCAGGCCGGGAGAAATGTATCAGCCGCTCGTTGGCTCTCAGCCGGCTCTGTGACAAAGCCTTTGTTCGCTACCTCCTACCCCATATCCCTCAGCTGTCATATCCCCAAACCGGGGCCCTCAGAACCCACCGTGCTTTACAGGGACAACAAAACTCAAGGATCTGTTATAAAACTGAGTGGTCCCTACGGGCAAATTAGCCCATTCCATGAGTAAAGGGTCTCCCCCTGACCTTCTGTAGCTCATCTGAGCCACATGGCTTCTCTCGCCAGGTCAGTCAGAGGGCATGGACCTCTTACCACCTGGGTGACCTCAGACAAGCCATGGAACCTGTGGGAGTTGCACTTCCTCACCGTAAAATGTAGAGAATTCCCCGGCCCTGCCCACAGCATGGATTTACAGTGATAGTCAAAGGAGACATTTCCACCAAAGTGATGCAGACCCAGGAGAGGGGTTTGCCTAAAGCTAAACAAAAGTTCCACATTTTCTCCTATCTCATTGTATTCACCTAAAAATCTTATTTCCCAATCATCTTTCCCAATTTCCTTTCCTGTTTAAAATGGGCTTCCCTGGAGGTGCAGTGGTTGAGAGTCCGCCTGCCGATGCAGGGGACACGGGTTCGTGACCCGGTCCGGGAAGA